TGTGCATGTTGTAAACGTGGGCATGTATTTATACTTTAAAAGTGTATCGAGTATATACTACATATAACATCGAGTACATTCTGCATATAACCCCGCTTGTATGATATACGAATTCCCTCATTCAGACAATTTTCAACCCAGCAGTCCCTCCACGACCATGTTAACCAAGAATGTGTCGCTCCCGTGGGCGGATGTAAACACAATCTTGGGTGTTCTCTGTCATGCGCCTCGGGTTTCTTCTGACATCCGACACTTTCAAAATTCTTCTAGAGAGACATGTGCTGATTTCTTGGGAATTTTCTATAGCCCGGGAATAACATGGCACTTCGTTTTATGTGTATTTGTGTATATGTATGTGTAGATAGAGATAGGTGTGGTTGTCTTGGAATGTACTACGTGCATGTGTTTATATATGGATAGGATATGCCTTTGTAAATATATGAATGTGCAAATAGATAGATTGGTCGGTCGATCGATAGGTAGATGGATAGATATGTAGATATTTCCCTCGTATATGAAGAGAGAGTGAATGAGTGAGTGTGTGCGTGCGTGCGTGCGTGTGTGTGTGTGTGTGTGTGTGTGTGTGTGTGTGTGTGTGTGTGTGTGTGTGTGTGTGTGTGTGTGTGTGTGTGAGAGAGAGAGAGTCTATGTGTATGAGAGTGAGTGAGAAGAAACATACTTGCAACACAACGTGCATTCTGCGAAGCAGCGAGCGCGTTCGCTTCGCCGAGAAGCACGTGGTGGCGGCGCAGGTCCCGTATCGCGAACCGCAGCCGAAGGCGCTCCTGGCAGCGAGGGAAACTGGGGCGGGCGTTCACTGCCCCGGTTCTTGCCTGTGCCCCCTCCCCCCACACCCCTCCTACCCATGTCTACCTTCCCCCTCCCCCGCTATATGTTTTTCCTCCCCATTCATATTTCAATGTGTCTGTTCAAAGACTTGCATGACACTGCATTTGCAGGGAATCGGAAACGCCCGACCGACCGGTCAAAGGGGGCCTCCCTTGGGCCGACTTCCTGGCGGAGGTCGTTGTGCCCAACCGAAAATGTATGCGATAAAGCTAGTACGTTAAAAGAATTCAAATAACATCTGTGGGGTGAACTTTATCCCGTTGAGGGAAAATCACGGTCAGTGTTAGAAAGATTTTCGTAGGGCTAATTCGCTACGTGTGCTAGAAGACTAGAAATTATTTTTGCAATTTGTTGGAAAGGTCGGACAAGCAAGACAGATCTCTTTTGTAAAGGGAAGTTCCCAGAGTCTGTAATAATTACTAAACAATCAGTCAATCTCTAACAATCCTCTGTCTGCAGATTTCCGACCCACAACTTACTATTTAAGATTTTTTTCTCTTTTTTTTCCTTGTTAATTATCGTCAGTGGGATGACTCGTTCTTTCCCGAGCTCGGCGAACGACTGACTACCTCGGCGTTTCGCTTCCGTCACTGCCTAATGACCAGGGACAGGGCAATTACCTGCGGGAGGGGTAATTAGGCACTTGAGACATGAGCACCGCTTGTACAACTTTGTCTTATGTTTCCTTATGCACCTTTGGTCTGATTTATGAAAGATTAAGCTCAGTGTGTGCGGTGGTCGTAACATCCCCTTTCCCAGTGGTTAAGAGAGCCTGGCAGTTAGGTGCATGCTTAGCCTTTTACGTAATTAGGCTGTTGGGCCAATTAGCGTTGGGTCTCATTGCTTCACGACTGCGCCTGCTGTTGCCATTGCAGCGTTGCAACCGGAAGGATCTCCCATATTTTTTATTTTATTTTTTTGGCCTCAAACCTCAAGAATGATTTATTTCCAAGAACATGGACCAATAAAACACTCGTGATTATGGGGTTCGCATTAGGGGAAACTTAGCCGTTAATTCTGTGACATATTGGATACGTTCCGGAGCGGGATTTTTTTTTTCCCTTTTTTGCGTGTTTGATTTTGATTTGATTATTAAATTTCGCTCTATTTCCTGAGGAATTTGCATGGTCTACGAAAAAAGGGGAACGTGCACTCAAACTGACTAAATTGATATATATAGGGCAATCAATTGCATATGAACCGCGCAGGGCAAAGTGGTTGCACTAAAATGAAAAGATGACAAAGATTTTAATATATAACCGTATATCTAATCTATTTATTTTGTGTATGAATCTATTTATTTTGTTATTTTGCACTACAAATATCTTCAAACTATCGATATTCCATTTAGAGTCTTTAGGGTGATAATTACAAACTGTTTTCCGCTTCATCACTCCTTGAGATTGCAAGTTGCAGAGATCGTGTGTACAGTTACCTCTGCTTTTGAGTTATTGTCTTCATCTACATCATCGTCATTATAATCCTTATTACTATCACTATTATTTTCATTGTTATTATCGTTATTGCTATTATTATTATTATAATTATTATAATTGTTGTTGTCATCATCATTATCACTATTATCATCATCATATTCATTATCAATCATTATCATCATCATCTATTCATCATGTTGCAAAACAGTTTAACTTAGAAAATTATTGATTTTTTTTTTGTTCTCTCTTTCCAGGATCACTATCAAAATCCCGACCAAGTCTCTAGGTAAGTAAAGAATATACAATTGTCCAATTTCATGTTCTGTAATGGAAGCATTGATGTTCTTTTTTTATATATATGAATATCGCTATTATCATTTATGATGGTTATGGGTATTTTTGAAGCTCCGTTTTTTCACGTGCTCCCCCCTCCCTTCTACCTTTCTTTCCTGCCTACCTTTACCTTTCCCTCCTTTTCTCTCTTCTTCTCCCTATCTCTAATTTTCTCTCCTCCTCTACATTTCCCCCTTCTATTTTTCTCTCCCCATCCTTTCAACCTTTCTATCTCCCCCATTCTGCCTTTCACTCTCCCCCCTTCTACCTTCTCCCCCCTCCCTTCTACCTTCTCCCCCCTCCCTTCTACCTTCTCCCCCCTCCCTTCTACCTTCTCCCCCCTCCCTTCTACCTTCTCCCCCCTCCCTTCTACCTTTCTTTCCTGCCTACCTTTACCTTTCCCTCCTTTTCTCTCTTCTTCTCCCTATCTCTAATTTTCTCTCCTCCTCTACATTTCCCCCTTCTATTTTTCTCTCCCCATCCTTTCAACCTTTCTATCTCCCCCATTCTGCCTTTCACTCTCCCCCCTTCTACCTTTCTTTCCTGCCTACCTTTACCTTTCCCTCCTTTTCTCTCTTCTTCTCCCTATCTCTAATTTTCTCTCCTCCTCTACATTTCCCCCTTCTATTTTTCTCTCCCCATCCTTTCAACCTTTCTATCTCCCCCATTCTGCCTTTCACTCTCCCCCCTTCTACCTTTCTTTCCTGCCTACCTTTACCTTTCCCTCCTTTTCTCTCTTCTTCTCCCTATCTCTAATTTTCTCTCCTCCTCTACATTTCCCCCTTCTATTTTTCTCTCCCCATCCTTTCAACCTTTCTATCTCCCCCATTCTGCCTTTCACTCTCCCCCCTTCTACCTTCTCCCCCCTCCCTTCTACCTTTCTTTCCTGCCTACCTTTACCTTTCCCTCCTTTTCTCTCTTCTTCTCCCTATCTCTAATTTTCTCTCCTCCTCTACATTTCCCCCTTCTATTTTTCTCTCCCCATCCTTTCAACCTTTCTATCTCCCCCATTCTGCCTTTCACTCTCCCCCCTTCTACCTTCTCCCCCCTCCCTTCTACCTTCTCCCCCCTCCCTTCTACCTTCTCCCCCCTCCCTTCTACCTTCTCCCCCCTCCCTTCTACCTTCTCCCCCCTCCCTTCTACCTTCTCCCCCCTCCCTTCTACCTTCTCCCCCCTCCCTTCTACCTTCTCCCCCCTCCCTTCTACCTTCTCCCCCCTCCCTTCTACCTTCTCCCCCCTCCCTTCTACCTTCTCCCCCCTCCCTTCTACCTTCTCCCCCCTCCCTTCTACCTTCTCCCCCCTCCCTTCTACCTTCTCCCCCCTCCCTTCTACCTTCTCCCCCCTCCCTTCTACCTTCTCCCCCCTCCCTTCTACCTTCTCCCCCCTCCCTTCTACCTTCTCCCCCCTCCCTTCTACCTTCTCCCCCCTCCCTTCTACCTTTCTTTCCTGCCTACCTTTACCTTTCCCTCCTCTTCCTCTTCTACCTTCCTTCCTCACCCCACCTCTACCTTTTCCTTCTCCCAACCCTTACCTTTCTCCACCCCCCCCCCCCCCCTCTGCCCCATTTCTACCTTTTTCTTTTCTTCCCACCCTTACCTTTCTCTCCTTCCTCCCCCTCCCCCCTTCTACCTTTCTTTCCTGCCTACCTTTACCTTTCCCTCCTTTTCTCTCTTCTTCTCCCTATCTCTAATTTTCTCTCCTCCTCTACATTTCCCCCTTCTATTTTTCTCTCCCCATCCTTTCTACCTTTCTATCTCCCCCATTCTGCCTTTCACTCTCCCCCCTTCTACTTTTCTCTCCCCACCCCTTCTACCTTCTCCCCCCTCCCTTCTATCTTTCTCTCTCCACTCCCCTTCTACTTTTCTCTCCCCCCACCCCTTTTACCTTTCTCCCCCCTCCCTTCTACCTTCTCCCCCCTCCCTTCTACCTTTCTCCCCCCCCTCCCTTCTACCTTTCTCCCCCCCTCCCTTCTACCTTTCTCCCCCCTCCCTTCTACCTTCTCCCCCCTCCCTTCTACCTTCTCCCCCCCCTTCTCCCACCAAACAGAAGCACGCCCACGGTGTCCCCTGCTGAGTGTGTTTGCTCGCCCGAGGACCCTGGGCTGTGTACTCTAGGAACCGCGGTCGCTCCTCCCCTATTTCTCCCCAGCAGGAACCCCGTCTCCTTATGGAATGGCGTCTCATTTCCTCTGTTCCCTTCATTGCTCCCCCCCCCCCCCCGTCCCCCTTTTAGTTCTTATTTGAATTTACTCCCCGTCTCGCTCTCTCGCAAACGGACGGTACGAGTAAGAGAAGCGTAAAGGGGAATGCTGGGTCTTTCTTTTTTTTCTCCATCTCTATTTATATATTTACACCTGTTTGTCAGTTTATATCTATCTATATCTATCTGTATATCTCTCTCTATATTTATATTTATATATGTATATATACACCTTTCTGTCTGTGTATCCGTTTATATGCTTATCTATGTGTTTCTTTGTGTGTCTGTGTATCTCTCTCTCTCTTTCTCTTTCTCTCTCTCTCTCTCTCTTTCTCTCTCTCTCTCTCTCTTTCTTTCTCTCTCTCTCTCTCTTTCTCTCTCGCTCTCTCTCCCTCCCTCCCCGTCTAACTCTTCCTCTCCCTCCTCTCCCTTTCCGTCTCTCTCCCTCTCCCTCTCCCTCTCAACCCAGGCTTAATTACCGCCCCTTGTAGACGCCGTGTGAACAGACAGGGCGGTGACTCACAGGTCTAGGGGTGGGTGGCGACAAAGGTCAGGTCAGGAAAGGTGAATTTAGGGCACAGGAGTATTACTGGCAGATCTGGGGTTAGAGGTCAGGTCAGGTGAGTTGTGAAGATGATATTGTTGTATGAACACTTCACCTTCGTCGTTTCGATAAAGGGTTGGATTGATGCAGTCATGTCGTGAAGCATGGGATTATGTGACTCGTGTCTGCTGTTCGAGGACGTCCTTGTATATATGTTCGTTATGGCAGACGTTTGTTCAGTTGTTTTACCCAAACCTTCCGTTGGACAGTTTGTTGTTTTTTGTGTATTTTTTTTACACACACGCGCACACACACACACACACACACACACACACACACACACACACACACACACACACACACACACACACACACACACAACTTATATATGCACATGTACATATGTATATGTTATAACATGGAGGGAATCGAGTGTGGGTATTCGCTCTCCTTGTTGCATGTGCATTTAACGCAAGAACTTTGCAATGTTGACACCGCCTGCAGTAACAGTATCCGACTCGGGTTCTCATTGCATGACCTCGACGCCGGAAACATTTCTTTCTGTCTTCCTTTTCAATTTTCTTTTTTTTTTCTTTTCTTTGTTTTGTATCTATATATTCTTTTAGTGTTTTCTTGCCTTTTACTGTAGAAAATGAATTGGTTGGGGATGGGAAAAGAAAGGTTTGGAATGTATGTAGAGTCGATTTTTTTTTATTGTTAGGGATTTTAAGTCAGTAATTGGATTAATTCTAAACACACACACACACACACACACACACACACACACACACACACACACACACACACACACACACACACACGTCATTCCCTAGTTGTTTTATATCGTCTCAGCTTGAATTTAAACGAATAGAAATCCACACGCATTTCCTATAACTTCCTAATTGTTTGCCACTTGTTACTGTCCAGAGGGGGGGGAGGGGGAAGGGTAAACCACGCGAACTGACCTGTCGAGTAAACACACTTACGAAGAATAACATTGCGTAATTTTGCTACGGTCGGCCGGATACGAAACACTTTGCCCTCCGCCCCCTCCCCTCCCTCCGTGTCTAGCACCCTACCCTACCCTACATTTCCCTTTCTCCCTTCTCCCTTGCCCTACCCTTTCCTCCTCCTCTTTTTCCTTTCTTCTCGTACCTTTCCTTCCCTCGCTTCTCCCTCACTTTATTCTCCCTTACCCTACGTTTCCCCTTCCTCTCTTCTCTCTTATCCTACCTTTCTCTCCTCTTTTCTGCCTCCTTCTCTTATCTTCCCTTCGTCTCTCTCCTTCCCCTCCCTCCTCACCTCCCTTCCCCCCCCCTCATCGCCCTCCCTCCCTCCTCCCTCCCCTCTTCCTTCATTCACCCGCGTAACGTTAATGTGGCGTGACCTGTAACTGACTCCCGCAGGCCCCCTCCCCCCCTCTCTTTCCATTCCCTGCCTTCTTTTTATTCCTTTTCTTCTGCTTCTTCTTTTATTCTTATTATTATAGTTGTTATTGTTATATATTTTCTTCCTATTATTATTACTGTCGTTATTGTTATCATTATCAAAATATCTCTTTGCTTCTTCTACCTCCTCTTCTTCACCTTTTTCTTCGTTCTCCCTTCCTCATCTTAGATATTCCTCCACCCATCCGTGTCTTCCACCTTCGCCTCCCCTTCCACCATCACCACCACCTCCTCCTCCTCCTCCTCCTCTTCGTCCTGCTCCTTCTATTTCTCCATTTTTTCCTTCTCTTCTTTCCTCTCTTCTTCCTCTACCCCACCTCTTCATCTTTTTCCTCCTCCTCCTCCTTCTACTTCTCCATTTTCTTCCTTCTCTTCTTTCCTCTCTTCTTCCTCTACCCCACCTCTTCATCTTTTTCCTCCTCTTCCTCCTTCTCCTCCTCCCCTCTCCCTCTTCTTCCTCAACCACCACTTCATCTTCTTCCCCCTTATCCTTTCTTCTCCATCTTATATTTCCACAACCCCTCAGCCTTGCCATTGCACCATTGTTACGCCTTTTCCTCCTCCTCTTCCTCATGTTTTTCTTATTCCTCCTCTTCCATTTCATCTTCCTCTTGACCCTCATTTTCTTCCTCCACCTCTTTTTTTCTCCCTCCTCATTTTCTTGTTTATCCTCCTTTTTCTTCTTCCTCATTTTCTTGCTTATCCTCATTTTCTTCCTCCTCCTTGCTCATTTCTTTCCCTCCCTCTTCTCCTTCCTCCCTCTGCTCCCTTTCTTACTCATCCATTCGCTTCCTTCGCCTCTTTCTCCTCCTCCATTCCCCTTCTCTTTCTTCCAATCTCCTCCTTACTCCTGCACATCCCTCTTAGTCCGTCCCCCCCTCCCTTTTCCCTTTCCTCTCCTCTGCTCTCTCCCTCTTCCCCTTCCTCCTCCTCCTCCTCCTCTTCCTCTTCCTCTTCCTCCCCTTCCATTCCTCTTCTCTCTTTTCGTCTCTATTCCTACTCCGCCTCCTCTCCCTTCTCACTCCCCTCTGCCCCCCCCTCCTTCCCTCTGCCCCCCCCCCCCTTCCCTCGCATCTTTCCCCCTCCTTGTTAGATGATTAACGATGTCACAGTAACTATGGGAACGTCGGCCATTGGTAATTAGTAAAATGAGTCGTTTACGTGTATATTATACTCGGGGAAAGGAGGAGTGGGGGGGGGGGGAGTGAGAAGGCGGTTGTAGAGTAAGAGGGAAAAGGAAGGGAAGAGGAGGAGGAAAAAAGGGAGGGAAAAAGAGAGAAAAAAAGGGGAAAAAATATAGAACATAAGGTAAAAAGACTGAGCCTGAGATAAGTAGATGCGTGCATGTGTGTATCTATCTATCTATCTATCTACATATTGTATTTACATATATATTTATGCATATACTGTCGTTACTGCGATCTCAAGGTTTTCGATTTGGTTCACAGGAACTCTTTAAAGAGCGCGTGGCCGTTAAGTACCTTGAGAAGCGCTGCGTTCCGGCGCCTTTAACGCAATTGTGATGATAATTTACACCGTTTTACTCTGTATTACATCCTGTTGTGGAAGTATTAATGTGAATATGTGTGCGTGTGTGTGCGTGTGCGTGTGTAAGTGCGTGCGTGCGTGTCAGTGAGTTTTGTAAGTTAATAGTTACGCACTTCACACACGACCCACTTTTAAACCGTATTACCCATATAACAAAAAAATAACAGTCTTGTCCGCTCCACGTGACACCTAGTTAGGCCGCTTCCATCTGATTTTGAAAGGCGCCCACAATTTCCTAGCGCCATATTCTTTTTTTCAGTTTTTAATCAAATTTCTTTTCCATCTAATATATCAAGGTATCCAGATACTGTGATATACGAGATTTTTACAACAGATTATCCTCCTCCTCCTCCTCCTCCTCCTCCTCCTCCTCCTCCTCCTCCTCCTCCTCCTCCTCCTCCTCCTCCTCCTCCTCCTCCTCCTCCTCCTCCTCCTCCTCCTCCTCCTCCTCCTCCTCCTCCTCCTCCTCCTCCTCCTCCTCCTCCTCCTCCTCCTCCTCCTCCTCCTCCTCCTCCTCCTCCTCCTCCTCCTCCTCCTCCTCCTCCTCCTCCTCCTCCTCCTCCTCCTCCTCCTCCTCCTCCTCCTCCTCCTCCTCCTCCTCCTCCTCCTCCTCCTCCTCCTCCTCCTCCTCCTCCTCCTCCTCCTCCTCCTCCTCCTCCTCCTCCTCCTCCTCCTCCTCCTCCTCCTCCTCCTCCTCCTCCTCCTCCTCCTCCTCCTCCTCCTCCTCCTCCTCCTCCTCCTCCTCCTCCTCCTCCTCCTCCTCCTCCTCCTCCTCCTCCTCCTCCTCCTCCTCCTCCTCCTCCTCCTCCTCCTCCTCCTCCTCCTCCTCCTCCTCCTCCTCCTCCTCCTCCTCCTCCTCCTCCTCCTCCTCCTCCTCCTCCTCCTCCTCCTCCTCCTCCTCCTCCTCCTCCTCCTCCTCCTCCTCCTCCTCCTCCTCCTCCTCCTCCTCCTCCTCCTCCTCCTCCTCCTCCTCCTCCTCCTCCTCCTCCTCCTCCTCCTCCTCCTCCTCCTCCTCCTCCTCCTCCTCCTCCTCCTCCTCCTCCTCCTCCTCCTCCTCCTCCTCCTCCTCCTCCTCCTCCTCCTCCTCCTCCTCCTCCTCCTCCTCCTCCTCCTCCTCCTCCTCCTCCTCCTCCTCCTCCTCCTCCTCCTCCTCCTCCTCCTCCTCCTCCTCCTCCTCCTCCTCCTCCTCCTCCTCCTCCTCCTCCTCCTCCTCCTCCTCCTCCTCCTCCTCCTCCTCCTCCTCCTCCTCCTCCTCCTCCTCCTCCTCCTCCTCCTCCTCCTCCTCTTCCCTCCTCCTCCTCCTCCTCCTCTTCCTCTTCCTCTTCCTCCCCTTCCATTCCTCTTCTCTCTTTTCGTCTCTATTCCTACTCCGCCTCCTCTCCCTTCTCACTCCCCTCTGCCCCCCCCCTCCTTCCCTCTGCCCCCCCCCCCCCTTCCCTCGTATCTTTCCCCCCCTTGTTAGATGATTAACGATGTCACAGTAACTATGGGAACGTCGGCCATTGGTAATTAGTAAAATGAGTCGTTTACGTGTATATTATACTCGGGGAAAGGAGGAGTGGGGGGGGGGGGAGTGAGAAGGCGGTTGTAGAGTAAGAGGGAAAAGGAAGGGAAGAGGAGGAGGAAAAAAGGGAGGGAAAAGGAGAGAGAAAAAGGGGAAAAAATATAGAACATAAGGTAAAAAGACTGAGCCTGAGATAAGTAGATGCGTGCATGTGTGTATCTATCTATTTATCTATCTACATATTGTATTTACATATATATTTATGCATATACTGTCGTTACTGCGATCTCAAGGTTTTCGATTTGGTTCACAGGAACTCTTTAAAGAGCGCGTGGCCGTTAAGTACCTTGAGAAGCGCTGCGTTCCGGCGCCTTTAACGCAATTGTGATGATAATTTACACCGTTTTACTCTGTATTACATCCTGTTGTGGAAGTATTAATGTGAATATGTGTGCGTGTGTGTGCGTGTGCGTGTGTAAGTGCGTGCGTGCGTGTCAGTGAGTTTTGTAAGTTAATAGTTACGCACTTCACACACGACCCACTTTTAAACCGTATTACCCATATAACAAAAAAATAACAGTCTTGTCCGCTCCACGTGACACCTAGTTAGGCCGCTTCCATCTGATTTTGAAAGGCGCCCACAATTTCCTAGCGCCATATTCTTTTTTTCAGTTTTTAATCAAATTTCTTTTCCATCTAATATATCAAGGTATCCAGATACTGTGATCTACGAGATTTTCACAACAGATTAATATTTGCTCGTAAGAAGACCAGACGAAGAAGGAAAATAAAATTAAAAAATAGAATAAAAAAAGGAAGTCGAAGGAGTGGCAACAGCGCACGACCGGCCGCCGCAGTCTCGTGGTCTTTGATTCGACTTTTGTGAAGCAATTTGACGCCCGCGACGGCCGTGGCTGCGGGAGAGAAGTTGATTCTACGGCAGGAATGCGGTGGCGACACCCTCGGCTATTGAAGGATTTTTTTTTTTTTTTTTTTTTTTTTTTTTTTTTTTGAGGGATATATTCTTCTTCTTTGGGTCTTTGTCTGTTTGCTGTCCTCCACCCTCCTCCGTTTCTCTGTCTGTCTCTCTCTCTCTCTCTCTCTCTCTCTCTCTCTCTCTCTCTCTCTCTCTCTCTCTCTCTCTCTCTCTCTCCTCTCCTCTCCCTCTCCCTCTCCCTCCCTCCCTCCCTCCTTCCTCTTCTGTTTCTCTTCCCCCTCTCCCTCTCCCTTTCCGTCTCCCTCCCTCCTTCCTCTTCTGTTTCTCTTCTCCCTGCTCTCTTCCTTCCCCTCTCCCTCTTTCTATCAAAAATCTAAACAGTAATTACCGATGATTGCTTAATCCACATATACTAAAACCAGTCATCCTACCAGTCACCCAATCAATTAAGCAAGCAATCAATCAGAATACCAATCAGTCAGTCTCCCAGTCATTATGCCAGTCAGTCAGTCAATCGACCAATCCCCCAGTCAGTGTACCAATCAGTCAGTCAATCTCCCAGTCAGTAAACCAATCAATCAGACTCTCGCCATCTATTTCCGAAAAGAAAGCGGCCTCATTCTGTGTAAAATACGAGTTTCTTTACGTTTTCTCCGCAATTTTCCGCGAATCGAGCATTACCGCCGCCATTTTGGTTTTCACCTGGACTTGGAAATCTTATTTTGCTTGTATTTTCGTTTGTTTGTTTTCTTTCTTTTTTTTCTTTTCTTTTCTTTTTCTTTTTCTTTCTCATCTGGACTTGGGAATATATGATTTTGCTTCTTTTGTTGTTGCTATTGATGGAAAGGTGCATGCTCAGTTCGTTTTATTTCGTTTTTTATAAAGGTTAAAGTAATAACGTTTCCTAATTATCGTATGCTAGTGGTATGCCTTCGTAATAATTTGCAACGGAAGTGTTCCTAATATGCAGAGCTCAGTCATCACGTGTTTCCAGATGCATGAATTCCGTATGTGCGCTTTTTTGTTTGTGTGTGTGTGTGAGTGCGTGCGTGCATGTGCGTGCGTGTTGTGTGCGTGTGCATACCTGCCTGTTTGTGAAATTCCTGTATGTCTGCATATACAGTAGATGTAGTCATGTATGCCTTTATGCACATATTATCCCTTTTCACTTCACACCTCGCGCCATTTTTGCCCAAAGATTTCGACGAAACAGAAATTCCCACGGGGACTGTTTTCCCGCCCTTTTTCCACTCAGTCGCCGATTTTCCTTTCACGTCCCAACCTCTGAAGAAAAAAAAAACCGGTTCTCATACAATGCCGTCGCCTCTCAATGCCCTTCCCTTCTCAACCGCTAATCCGGACACCTGGTTAGCTAATCCGGATCTTGCTCGCGCTAATCCCCCCCCGCAATCCGGTTGAAGGAAGCAACCAACCGCCACGTGTGGTCGGGCGCCGCGTAACCGGATGCCGGGCCTGTCACCGAATCGCGCCGCCGGAGTTTCGCGATGGCCGGTTTGGCGGCGGTTCTCATGCGGCGCGCGGAATGGCGGGGGGGGGGGGGGGCGTTGGTTGTGGGTGCTCGTGCATCCGCATATACGCACACGCATACATATACTCAAATTCATGCGTACACATCCATACGTACATTTAAACACATCGCTACTCATATCTACACGCATATAGACACTCAAAATCAATCATTCAGTCACTAACACGCGCACACGCACTCACACAAGCACACGCACGCACACGCACACTGCCCACAGGCAATTATATTTTCTTTCGAATCTCAAGATTTTAAGACTGGTTCAACCATCCTATCTTATTTTCAAAACAATTTCCAGTCCGCTCACATGAAAGGCAGGGCTCTGTATATAGGCCTATGACGTCTGTTCAATTTATATATAGGAAACCAATTTTACAGGTGTGGGTAAGGGTCCTGATGTATGTGAATTTAATTACAAATTATCCCTTATGGCTTAAAAGAAAAAAAATCAGAAGAGGGAGAGAAAAAAGTTAATTAAAGAAACTCATTTAACAAACTTTCTCTCTCAGCCTCAGGGTATTCACGTTATGCCCTTCTTCCGCGGATGTGTACGCATGATGGGTATTAGGTTTTGCTTACGGGGGAGGTATGATAATATCAATAATAGTAATGATATTAAAATGATAATGATAATAATAATGATAATCATAATAATAATGATAATGTTAATAATAATGATAATGTTAATAATAATAATAATAATTTGTATTTTTTAACAACAGTAATAACAATAATGATAACATTAGTAATAACAGTGAAAACAATATTAATATCAATAATCTTTATTTTCCAATTACAAGTGGTTTTTCTTTACATTAATTTACAATGTGTGTGTATGTGTGAGAGAGATAGAGGGAGGGAGGGAGGGAGGGGGGATAGAAAATTTAGGAGAGAGGGAGAGGGAGGGGTAAAAAGAGAGTGAGACAGAAGAGAGGGAAAGAGACGGCGAAGGAGACAAAAAGAGAGAGGGGGGAGGGGATAATAAGAAATAGGTACATAATTGCAAGGTTCGTCTGAGGCGGATCTTGCAGGTTGACCCAGCAGGCAGTACGGTCGAAGTTAAACTGGATTTACATGCAGCTGTCGACCTTACAGAATATATCTAAAATACTGCCATCTGTCGCCAGACGTTACAACATATTAAAACAAAAAAACACAAAAATATTGAACGAATATGAATTAATAATATTACGCAATCTTGTGTATTTAAAATCATTAATCTTCAAATATCAGCATGACAAAAGTAAAGAATTAATATGCAAAGCTGCCGTTTCGAACAACAAAAAATCTGACGATACATTTTTACACACAAAGGTTAATCTCCTTGGCTGTGCTTTTTTTTGTTCAGGTCGTGATGTGTGAACTGAAATTACTAATCAGTTCCGTCAAAGTAATTTAGGCCGGATCTTCCAACGTTCCTCAAGGCATCCGTACACGCACGTACAGATATACAGTATAGTTCACACGAATTCACGTACATGCGTGGGGTCGTATAGATATGTGCATGTTTAGTGGTATATAATGTTTATATTCTACTTTTCGAACACTCACACGTACATACATATTATCGTATACACACATACTCGTACATAATAGTGTACACGGATTCACGCACATGCACGTTAGTGAACACAGACATGCACGCGCAACATTACACACCCAAATATATACTCAACTCACGCAAGCACACACACACACACGCACGCACACACACACACACACACACACACACACGCACGCACACACACACGCACACACACACACACACACACACACACACACACACACACACACACACACACACACACACACACAGATACTTTTAAACCCATACAAAAACCGCGATTTACACCCCCTTCCCCTCTCCACCCCCCACTGTAAACCCACACACACACGCACGCGCACGCACATTTTAAACGCCCTACGCACATACCGGCACACTCGAAGCCCCTGTCCGTTGCCCACGCCGCGCGGGCTCTGAACTTTCACTCATTACCTCAAGGTCGTGAGCTTTCACACTCTGGTCACATCTGGACGCGTCACCTTGCCCCCTTCCCCCCCCTCCCACTCTCTGCCCCTGTGCTCCTCCCCCTTCTCATCATCCTCTCCCCTCCCCTCCCCTCCCCTTGTGATCTTCTTTCTTCCCCTCTCAAATGCCCACCCCCACCCCCACCCCTAAGCGCCCCTCTGCCTTCCCATCCCCTCTTTCTTACTTTTCCTTTTCCCCTCCTTACCACGCCTTTCCTCCTTCCCCTCCTCCTCCACCTCCCCTTCCCTCCCCTCCCCTCCCCTCCCCTCCCCTCCAATCCCTCCCATCCCTCCCATCCCTCCCTCCTTCCCCCTCTCCCCCTCCCCCTATTTCCTTCCAGCCTGTCGATATGATTCTTTGTAAATTATAAAAAAAGTAATCAATCAAATATCAATTTCCTTCTTGACTCATCCCTAGATAGGAATAATAATCCGTTATTGGTGATGTCAACATTTTCCTTCTTTTTTTCCCTTTTTTTTTCTTTTTTTTTAAGGTTTTGAAATGAAGATGGTCCTGCCGTCCAAGGCGACCGGCGCTTTCTCAGAATACCGCTGAGTAATTTTTTTAACGCAATAGGATGTGCGTTTCTCAAAGGCTTGCGCTCCCGACACACTTCAAGATCATCCCTGACCCCCATTTCACAATTCATTATGATACGAGAATAATTTGGTAATCAAGTGTCTGCTTTCTCAAAATTATTTCGATGATTAATGTGATAGGGGGGGGGGATAAAAACAAAGGTCAGCTTTGTCACGATTTATCGAGACGCGCGAAAATGACACCAAAATCCCAGAGCAGTCAGATAGTCAACAGATAAATGAATGAAAAAAAATCACGAGAAAAACAGCAGAAAAGACGGTAATTCACGAACAATCACGCGGCACAAACACCGCCGGCCTTTTCCTCTATACAACGGAAGATCAGCCGAGCGTGTTTGTCTCTGGGGGAGGCGATGAACACGTGTTTGTCGCTCTGATGATGGGATTTAAGGCGCAGACCGTTGTGAGGTTAAGCGGCTTTCGGGCCATTTGCCTACTACCTCCTCCTCCCTCCTCCTCGTCCTTCTCCCTCTTCTTTTCTTCATTCTCCTCCTATTTTTTTCCTTCCTCCTCCGTCTCCTCATATTCTTCTCCCTCCTGTTATATTCTTCCTCCTCCTCTTCCTCTCATATCTTCCTCCTCCTCCATTTCTTCTTCTTCCCCCTCCTCCATTTCTTCACCTCCTCCTCCTCCTTTCCCTTTTCTTCCTCCTCCTCGTGTCATGTTTAGATATCAGAAATTGAGCAATAGATAGTCCGTAATTTAGAATCAATCAATTACACACACACACACACACACACACACACACACACACACACACACACACACACACACACACACACACACACACACACACACACACACACACACACTTTGTAATGCCAAAGTCCTTTGTACTTGAGCATGACATTTGAAATCCGCATTTACAGTCATGATTTATACAGCAATATGTCAACACCAAGCAAGCATACAATTTCTGACCACACCTTTAGCGCTAAATATACACACACTTGAAAGGCACGGTTGCGTTACAGATGTGCTGCGTATTTCACAGTTATCAGTACACGTGTTTATAATCTACGAGGACCTCTATGTTTGTCAGATGAAGAAGTCTTTAAAGATTTTTGCCTGTGAAGAGTAGCGCCGTCGAGCAAGTAGTGTAGTTTTAAGCTGCGTTTGTCACCCGCCCATTGGACCTTTATATTTATGGGCGTTTACCCGGGACTTGCGAATCCTTATGGTAATCCGTCAGGTATGTCAGATTCTCAGACTTCGAATATCGGTTTTAACCATCTGGTCTTTAATTGTTGTTAACGGGATAATTATGATAATAAATGAGAGAGAGAGAAAAAATATCAATACAACGCCCATTGATTCCGAAGTATGTTAGACACTCCACCCATGGCGCTCCTTTTATATTCGAATTTCGGATGGTGTTTAAGGGAAATTCTAGAACGTTCGCAGGTATCCGGTCATTTTGTCGTGAATGTTAACGAGCGCCGGGACAAAGGACTGATGACTTTGGGGGGAGGGGGGAGGGGAAGGGAGGGGGTAATTATCATTCTCCTCTTTTAGGGATTTGCGACCACACCTAGCCGGTTTTTATTATTTTTTTTCCCCTCTAGCATGAAACGATCAATTTTGGATGAATCTACACTTTCATTTTTTTCCGAATCGGGTAATGTACGGATTAGTTCTTTTTCGGTACGCAACTTTTCAGTTATTTTCGCCCATGAGAACATTTAAAGGACCAATTTCTCAGTGCGATGATAGTGATAAATCCATCTTTCATACATCTCGCAAAGAAGAGTAATTTTCCCGCCAAAAATCTGTGCAGACCGACTCGTTTCCCGCCAAATCTGACGCTGCGGCTTCGAATGGTAAAAATGGCTGGCTCGGAACCGCTGTGTAATTACCGGCACCCTGGAGACTCTCCCTCAGGGCGATGGGCGGCCCCGGGCGGGTGCTTTACTCGGGGGGAGAGAGAGGGAGGGAAAACGGGGGAGTTTTTGTGTAGCTTTCGTGGGGAGGGGTAGGTTAGGGAGGGAAGGGAGGGGGGGGGGGGCGTAGTTATAGTGTCTTACGACGTCTCGGTATATATTTGCTGTTAAGGTTTTCACTTTTTTTTATATTTTTTTCTCAAATTCGTTGTTTATTATAGCTGTAGTTGATTGAACTTGTTGAAAACATAATGTAGAAGTTGGATATTGATAACTCATCATGTTAGGTATTTAGGTATTTAGCAAATGTCCTGCTTATTATAAACAATGTATTTTGTACTAGCCCCACGCGTGACGAGGGATGATATAATAAAAATAAACACGTTCCATTTTCACAACGGCACTGAACACACAACCCCGGCAACGAATGCTTCCCAAATAGACCAATAAACCCGTATCTGTAATAATATATCCGCCATCTGTCTTTGCCTTTACCCCCACCCCACACACCCCACCCCACCCCGCACCCCTTACCAACAATTTCCCATCCGATCCCAATTATTTTTCACCTTCCCCTATTTACCCCCCCCCCCCCCGGCTGTTTATACCCCCTTCCTCCGCGCCCTCCTCCTCCTCCTCCTCCTCCTC